TAACACAACAGCAGCAGTGATGATGACGCTGGCACCTTTTAACGTAGAGGCGGAGTGAAGAGCAAAGAGGCGGAGCCATTACCAACACGGTGAGGTCAGACAGAGTGAAAACAAACAGCAGCTCTGTTCCTGTGATCAACATTAAAACACTTTACTGGGAAAAAGCTGCGGGAGTCCTTCATCAAAGCACCTGATCAACAAACTCCGACAAGTAGAAAAGTGAAATTTGTAGCTGCTCCATCCAACGCCGTTCGTCTTACATGGCAGAAGAATCTGCAGTAAAGCTCCACGGAGAAAACAGAAATCAATGAGTCGTTCATTGTGAAAGACCTGTGTTTTTTCTCTTTTGAATGTTTATGATTGCTCATTAATAAGACAAAAGTATTTTTTATCCATTTACTAGATTAATCGATGGAATAATCGATAGATTACTTGATTACTGAAATAATCTATAGTTACAGCCCTACTTGTCTCCATCTAAATAATCTGTGAAGCCACCTGAGTGTTTGTTGTTGTCATTGTGGAATTTCTGGTGTGTTGATTAATGACATTAGCTAGCAGTTGACTTCATTTCTAAGCTAACGTGTTGGTCTCTGATGACACACTCAGGGCACGAAAGTCATGTCCTCTGAGTTTTAGCAGCAAAATCATCCAGAAAACTTCACACAGAAATCTGTCCACAGGCTGTTAATACTGTTTAATAAATGTAAAGAGAGCATAGTGCACATTTAAGATGAGAAAGGCTGTTAACCTGATAGTTAGTAATCCCAGACTGGTGCTGAGCACATGAACTTAATATAAAGCCACTCCAGAGAATTAAAAATGCCCTTTTAAGGTGCTGCATCGACCCGCTTCTCTATCTCCTCTGATCATATCCACCAAAGATGGATGATTAATAGTTTAAAAAAACATTCCAGGTAGAGATTAGCTTCAACCAAACATCATGATGAGGAAACAGCTTATGTCAGCATCAGCTTTGAAGGTTTGCAGACATTTCCAGACCTGATTGTGTTATTGTCTTTTTCCCTGCCATGTTCTGAATCACTGACTTCACGTGTTTGAGTTGGACAAGCATGACTCAGGAAGTTCAGGAGATAAAGGAGGACATGAGGAAATAAGGGAACACTGGAAACTTACTGTTATTTTTTGATTTCATTATATCCAGGATATGTTCTTAGAGTTGGTGCTGAGGACATTTTCTTTTTCTGATATCTGCAGAAAAAGATGACGCACAAGTTCAAGGACCCATAAAGTATGATATCAAAACCTGTAATTATTAAAATGTGATTCTCTTTGGTCACATTTAAAGCTCAAAAGTGTTTTAACAGAAACACACAGCTGGCACATGTCCTAAGTGAGTTTCAGAGCTTTACAAGCTTTGCATTTTGCTCGTATAATGGTCATAAAACAGGAGCAGGGTTTCACTGCCGAGCTGCAGTTAAATCCAGCCAAACAGCCACTGACTCTCTGAATTTAGGCTTTTTGTAATCTCTAACAGAAATACATTCACTCCTGTAGACCAGGTTAGCACCAAATATGTGGTCTTCTTTGCTTTGATGACTAAAATAAACACATTATACACAATTTAGTGTTGTGTTAGTTGGAAAAGGAATTTGGAAAGCTAGCTAACTAGCATTCCCATTCAGATGTGATTTTTGTAGCTATAATGTTAGCAAGCAACATGGTCAGGCAGCTAGCTGTAACTTAGTTATGCTGCACATTTATACTGATAATTATTTTGTACCACTAGCTGATAAAGAATTGAATAACTGTCTCTACTTTAAATGTGTTTACCTAGTTAAAATAGTTAGAACTAGTCCTCATTTGTGTCATTATCAAGAGAACGGGTGAGGTAATTTGGAAAATTAGCACACTAGCATTACCTCTCTGATATGATTTTGCTAGTGATAAAGCTTGCAATCAAGTTATACTTAGCCCACTAGCTGTATTTTGGCTATGCTAGTCTGATGATGGCAATAAAAATATTAACTGATGATGTAATTTATCAGCTTCCGGGATTGATAAGTTCTCATATCAGGGCAGCGAGTTTGGATAAGTTGGTATTTGATTGTATCCACTAAAACCAGCCATTTAAAATGACACAGACTGCCGTTTGTCTGTGTTAGCAGGCATGCCAGTGCTTGCCAATATAGAACTAGTTAGACCAGCGGTCCCCAACCCCAGTACCAGTCCATGAGTCGTTTGGTACCGGGCCGCGAGAGTTGAGCTCGGGTGTGAAATTTATGGTTTTCAGGGTTTTAATCAGTTTTTATAGTTATTTTTCTTAATCGTTTTTATTGTTAACCGGTTTCCCTGGGTCTTTTCCCATGTGTCTGGTTTTATTTTGTTGTATTTATCTGTGACACCTTAAAGGCCTGTCTGTGAAAATACTGACGGACATAAACCGGCCCGTGGCGCAAAGAAGGTTGGGGACTGCTGAGTTAGACCAGCTGACTAACCTTAGCTTGTACTGTAATGTTGTCTCTGTTTAAACCCTGTATGAAGACATGTCAGTGTTGGTTTTTATCCTCGTGTCACACCTGGATTGTGCTTGTTTAGTGAAGTTATTGATTTGATTTCTAAGCTAAAGTTAGCTAGCATTGCTCACTGTTTTCTTCTCCTATGTTTATCTCATATCTCAGTGATAAACTCATAAGTAAAAACATATGTCAGTGTGGAACAATAAAGCATTATGTATGTGTAAGTAGCATGCACTATGCTGGTTATATATTTTTATTTTGAATTACTGTGAATGATCTGAGAAGTTTTTCCTGATCACACCAATAACGTCATCTTCCTAAACCCTAAAGAGAGTCAGACTTAGTGTTTACATACCTCACACACACACACACACACACACACACCCTTGACCATGACATCAGCTGATAGAAATGCTGTAATTCAAGCAGACACCACCCTGAAAGCTCAGCTGCAGGTCAGGACAGTGACAGTATTGACACTATTGCTGCAGCTGACAATAAGATGACAGTAGTTGACATGGACGAGTAGGGAAAGTCTCCTTGTTAATGACTACAAGGGCCTGCAGAAGAGACTGCTGTATCTGCAGTCATCTGGACACAGCTTAACCACAGATGGACTTTGTGACATCATCAGTGCAAACACAGTGCAGAGGTCCACTTCAGCTGAGGTGAAGCCGAGCACACCACGCCCCCACCCTCATTAGCTAGTCCCATCTCCTTTGTCGTTCACTTCATACATCTCAAATTTTCTGTGTAACACAGATGCCAGAAGGCTGGACAGGCTAACGCACAAGGCTGGTCAGAATCTGAAGGAGTCAGTGAAAGTCAGGACAGGAGGTCATTATGAAGAACCAGTCTCAGCTCCACAGAGGCAGCAGAGCTCCTCCACAGACTGATTCAGTCCCACTGATCATTCCTGCTCTTCCCTGTCTGTTTTATAGCCTGTGGCACATTTAAACATCATAAGTTGACTGAAAGTGATTCAAAGAAGGCACGTTTACATTCCATCTCTTTCTAAAAAAAAAAGTTCAATATACACGATAAGCTAAAAGGAAATAAAAATAAAAAATGACACTGGTCTTTAGATTGTATTCAGAATTTTCAAATTGATGATGATTTATGAATCATGACACACTGCTCTCCCCTACACCTGCCTTTGTAGAGTAAAATTACTGGTATTCTATTGGTGAAATCTGAAATACTGGCCCTGTATTTGCTTGGTATTTGGATAGATACCAAAATAGTGGATGAATGGTAAAAAGATGTTTGATATTATATTGTCTTTATCTAACTTATCAGGATGACTGCTGATAAATAACCTTTCTAACTAATCTAGGTTTCTCTGGCAGCAGATAACGTTTATAACTTAACACCATTGCAAAGATTAAATACAATAAAAAAGTTATTTGCGCTACATTAATTTGCACCAGATATGAAAAATTTACCGTGACTAACTAAATATTTACTTTTATCTGACACCTTTCCACGTGAAACTCTGCAGCTCGTGAACCAAAATAGCCGTTTGTGTGAATTTTCCACCTGGAAATTATTATTATTATATTTAAATTATTATTATTTTGACATCCACAGTAACATATTCTACATACTTTTTTTTCAATATGTGAAGTAATTTTAGGTCCAGAGGGCGTTTCAGAGCCATTACACCCTCACTTTATGTTGAAATTCAGATTACTCATAGATTATCTGGAGCTCTCAGATTAATTTTGTTGTGTAGGAGTTTCCTCAGGATGAAATAAACCGCTGAGCGGGGGGCGGGGAAGGGGGGG